GTACGTCATGTATTTTCCTAAAAATGGAACCAGTCGATGAAAGAGCGGTAGTAAAATATTTGCATAAAAAAAGGCATAATGTCTACTGAAATTAATCAAGATATAATAGCAACATTAGGTGCGTCTTTTGTATCACGTAGTTGAAAGCTGGGGTCGGAAATTCAAATGTGGAGGAGCTTCATGTAAAAACGTTCATGTTGGAGGATCGTCAATCACGGTGACTAAGGATGAAAACATTGAAAATGTTCATGATTCAGTGTTGATCGACATGTGCGTATCAGACATTTTGTCGAGGACTTTCCCTTATCATATCTTACAGCTCACAACATTCTCTCAAAAGAACTCAATATGAAAAACTGAGCAATGTGGGTCCGATGAACGTTAACTGAAGTAGGTGGGAGTGAATTCTGTATTTTGCCATTTAAGTTCATTATAAGTTTTTAAATTGACATCCTATAAATCAGTGAACAATGTGCCATGAAACATTCTGTATATTGCGACATTATTTATTAATATGATGCATGTCAATATTACATAATATTAACACAAAATTTAATTATGTATTCGGGAATACAAATATGAATAACATAATAGACAATATTAATTTCTAGTTAAAACAAAAATAAATTTATTAACTGAATTGCATGTTTAAGCAAACAATTTTTATACATAAAAATATAAAACGTATTCAATATTCAGCGTTAAATTGGATTTATGGAAAATCAAAATAATAGATGGAGAGCTAGCAGCCGTGGAGGTACTTAAAACGTATACAGTACGTTAGCCGACGCATCAGGCAAAATAAAATAAGACGCCTAATTATATTTGGAGGTAAGGGGATTTAAAGAGAGTAATTGGTTTAACTTCGCTCTTTAGATGGTAAGCATGGGATATTGCGGTCCGCACTCGGCGACGTATTATTTAATTTTTCTATATTCAATAGCATTGTGTTTCTATATCGTTTTCTTGGAGTCAGGATTAAAAAGATAATTATTTAACCTTTTTTTAACGAAACTTTTTAATCATTTTGATTAGAAAACATGATTTAATTAATATGAAAAATTGTTTTACTTAGTTAAACGTGATAATATTCAACGGTTTTCGAGAAAAATGCAATATATGGTATCGAAAAAGGGATTTCAAATAATATTTCAGTCATGAAAAGTGTACCATGGGTTGTCAGATCATTGCTGTCAGTTAATGTTATTTATTTTAAATCAGTTGTAAAATTAATAAAAAAAAAAACAAAAAAATATTTTTATTTTAAACATTCTGCATCTTTTTCCATAGCAATACTTTATTAAGGTATAATTGATTCAATCCCAATAGTTATAACTCACCCTGTATGCTTTGAACTGTCATTTATCCAAAAGTTATTTATTCATTTATAATTTTATCTTTTTCCAATATCCTTTATATCCTTCATTATAATTACAATGAAATTAAAGTGCTTCAATTACGAAGCACCAAGCTCTTTCGTAAAGTGCTTTAAAGTATCAATTACCTACCAAATACTTTCTTTTTTAAAAGTGCTTCAAATAACCATTAAAAAATATTTGCATATCTTTCAGAGCTTTAAGTACGTATTGAAAAGTATTTAGAGCTCATAATAAGTGTTTGAACAATTAAAAAACCTATAAACAATTTTGTCAATGATCAAGAAAAATTAAACTGTACCAAAAATATATATATATTTTACTTTTCATAAAAACTGATACAAAATTACAATTTGCTTTTAACAAAACTAAATTTTCCAAATTATGAACCGTCAAGGCGGCAATTCTTGGCTAATTTATTATAGAAGCGAATGAGAATATTCGTTTAACAGGAACACTTGACGGTAAACAAGTGTTATACTTTACAAACAATTTCGTTATTGTTGGATATTACTTTAAAAGTGCTTCAATTACATTTAACGTAATTGTGCATTTAAATTAATTGAAATACTGCCGAAGAGCTTTAAAGCTCAAAGTACTTTTAGCACAGTTATTGAAGCCTTGAAAGTACTTCAAGCACTTTATAAAGGTCCTTTACCCAGCTGTGACGTTGACATGGTATCCTGATATTTTAAAGCCACTGTTAGGTAATATAATAGTTGTTTAACATCGAGCACTCTACTTTCGTTATATAGATCATCCGATGGGTATCGAGGTGATTTATTATAATAATAATTATTATTTTTTTAAATCTACGCTGGATGAATATATGATTTAAGAGAATACTTCAATTCAAATATTCCTTATCTCAGATAACTTTCAATTAAGCAACAATATAAAGTCCAGATAATTTGAAAGTATGCATTTCTTAAAATATTTAAATTTATATGAGATAGTTTGTAATTTTTTAATAATACTTAACTTTTTTTATTGGTTTTGTGAAAAAATTTATTCTTGCTAAAAAGTTCTGCATTATCCAAAACCTAAAATACAACAATCAGATATCAAATGTTTATAATAGTATACGAGGTATGTCAAATAATATGAATTTTGCTGAGGAGTAAAGTACCTTCATTTTTGACAAACCTCGTAAATGACTGATAAAATTTGATATCTGATTATTCAATTTTATGTCTTAGACCATGCTCGACTTTCTATGAAGAATAAATTTTTTTAAATTAGTAATAAAAAAAACTTTCGGTATGCCACATATTCTCTACGTAAGTTGGCGGCATATGAAAACCTTTTTTATTATTAATATTTAGAAAAAAGTTATTGTTCATACAAAGTCGAGCATGGTCTAAAACCTAAAATACAACCATCAGGTATCAAATTTTTCAGTCGTATACGAGGTTTGTCAAAAATAAAGGTACTTTACTTTTCAGCAAAATTCATATTATTGGATATACCTCGTATACTATTGTACAAATTTGATATATTTTAAGTTTTGGACCATGCAGAACTTTTTATCAAGAATAAAGTTTTTCATAAAACCAATAATAAAAAAGTTTTCCATATGGTTCTAACTTAAGTATAATGTGCTCGAACTAGCATTTTGGGGGTGGGTTGGCTCAGCGGTTAGAGTAATGACTTTAAAATCTTAAGGTCTCAGGATCGAATCTCACCGGTGCACATACGGCAATTAGAGGGAATTAACTTGCCAAAAATAGTTGTATTTTCCAAAGTAATTTTTTGCTTAGATTTAGTTGAAAGATCAATGTAAGTGGTAGAATAGACTGGTGTCACATTTCACATAGGAATGTATAAAAAAATGGTTTATAAATTAAATTTATATTTATATATTTAATTAAGGCGCCAAGGTTTAATTATTTATATTAACAGTACTAAAATACGTGACTTCGACCGTAAAGAGCTCTCCTCGAATGATTTTTTTGGTCTTCCACTGTTTTGATAATTTCTTACTACTTCTACTGTGGGTGTTGCAGAGATATTAGAGTCCAATTTAGGAATTATCATCTTTTTGTCTAGCCATAAAGCATAATTTTTGGTGAATCTTGTAGATGTACTTTTGCATCTTCCCCTTTATGATAAGCTTCGACACGAATATCTTTATAAAACATTTAAAACGTTTTCACGAGCACGTGGGAATTTCTGATGCATTAAATTTGTTTAATATGTATTGTTCTACCCTTTCAATGCACAGTCGACATTTTAAAGAATTTATCGCTTTTTAGAACAGAAAAAAGTTCATTTCTAGTGACTGAGAGAAAATGCGGATCAACGTTGTCGCGACTGCCTGTAAACAAAATAACTTATATCAGATAGAGGACAGTAGGGGACGTAAATTTTTGTATGCTCTTAAAGATAAAGGTCTTATCTAACTATAACAGAAAAAACGAGAGTGGAACTTGACGGAACTTTTTTTGTAGTCCTTGCACAAATTAGCCGTATACAAAAAAGAATGAATAAAATTAAGTCCACCAAAAGCTGTCGCTATTAATAGGCAAAAAAAAATAAATTCACATTGCCAATACTTGAATAAGAAATACATACATGAAACTTCACAGTCTATCTTGAAAAATGTCTTGAATAACAACAAATAAACAACAGCACGTATTTTTCCAACAAGTGTTCACATGCCTGAAGTGGCGCTGGAAAACAGTAATAAATCCTACACCAAACACACATGAATAAGAAGACAAACACAAACTGAGACTGACATATTAGGTACATACATCTAGCCCATAAAACTAGCTTTTATTATTACAAGATCAGTTTCAACTTTATTTTTTAAGGTAATTTTTGGTAATGTATATACATTTCAACACCCTGTATATCAACAGAAGTTTTTTTAATAAGATTTAGGCATTTTACATAAAACAGCAGATTACAGTCCATAAACAACTCCAAAGTATTGTCATATCAAATTAAAAAAAAAATGTTAATGAACCCTCTTAATCTTTCATAACTTTTCATTTTTTTTAAATATTCTTTTTTCAACCCTTTTTTTCCTAATTAATAGGAGTATATAATGCATACTTTTCCCTCGAATGAAGACAAATGAGGGATTAACTTATATCTTATTAAAAATGACAACCAGCCTGGCTGTATTTCAGTATTATACTACAAATTTAAATATCATCTATCATCTGAAATACATCAAAAGTGTCGGTGGTTTGGAAATACAAACAAGCTTATGGTGTAAAAGTGTTTAAAGTCAGCAATGGTATCTCAATCAATCAGTTTTTTGTTTATTTTTAAGACCATCCCTATTTTCTTCCTTTAAAATTGAAAGCCGAAAATATAAAAATCGTCTAAATTGATGTAACAACCGAATTATTATAAAATATTCTACAGTTAAACTTTCTCAAATTTGAATTGCTATTGGTTTCAGAATAGTTCTAGAACAATTATTGTGGATCAATTTTTAGATAATAATACTGTATTTCATTTCTAATGTCGGTGTTATTAAATCAACGTTTCGATGCACATATCATCTTCAGGAACTACAACGAAACATAAGAAAAATTTAATTTTACTAATTCCACCACCGACTGCGTAGTAATAATAAGAAATTAAAATAGAAACCAAAAGGTGACAAACCTTGATTTCAATTATGCAGCTGACACACTAGTTCGGCGCTAACTTTAAACTGTAAGTAACCAGCGATATAACCGGGCCAAAAAGACCTCACATCATGTGTGCTCGCGACAACGCGTGGCGCAAAACTGCCGACCGAACTGCAACGCCAAAACTAAAAACGGAGTTCTCCGCGGAGTACGGAGTTTCCCATTTACGTATTCCCAGGGGCGCCAAAGGCAATTTACAAGGAGAGAAAACGGTAATTCATCTACATCTTACTGGCGTTGTAATGCCTTGTGAAAGCATGGCATATGCATTAGAGGTGAAAGTCAATCTTAAAGAAGTTCGGGTACCGATAAGGTGAAAAAAAGTGATATTTTCAAGTTTCCATTTATTTAAAATACTCCCGGTAAGTTTGGTAGTTACCGCGGAGAAGCGTTTGAGCGGTAGACGTGAGTAATGCTTAAACGAAAACCAATATATTGAGGCCACAAAAAAATGTATGTATTTACAAACTTTTCAAAGTTATTGAGGACATCGAAACAAGCAATTTTTATTAAAAGTTGATGCCTATAAATTATTCAAAGTTACAGCAATTGATTAAAACGGGAATTGATTGAAAAGAGGAATTGAATCTGAGGCCCTAGGATCCGAACTATTTTCTTGACATTACAAGGAATTTGAACTGCCCTTGAAAGTATTACTAAGTGTACAGAGGGAAAGTTTTTGATGTATATATTCCCTACAGGCTTTATAGATACAGGGCAGGTATCTTCTTTCATTCTACTTTATTCTTAACTTTATCTTTTCAGTTTCGTATGTTCAGTTTATTTACATCACAGTCCTCTTCTTTTGCCAATTTCGCATTACTCATGCGCGAAAAAAGCGCGGAACTTTTGAATCTAGTAATTTTTCAAACACTTTTTTGCTATCTTTTATCCTCGCGTTACAACTGTTGGGTTGGCTACCACAATCATCCCTGTTAACGTAACTTTAAACAACCGTCATCAAATCTGTACAGTAGGGGAGCTAATGGCACTTTTTTGGTATACATTTGGACTAGATTAGAAATGTATTGTTTATAAATTATTTTAGAAGATGGAAATATTTTACTGCAGACGCACTAGCAGTGGAGCGCTCGATGACGATGTCTTCAAAAAGCCGATGTAGAAAATGCTAATAGAAAAAAATTCTTGAAGAGGTTGAGTGATGTGTAGTGTGTACACACTAGTTATTAAACAAATGAAGCGAGAAGGTATTTAAAGTGTGTAATTATTGAGTTTTATTCGTCTGAGCGCTTTCGGCCTCTTAAGCCATCATCAAAGACTCTATAAGAGAAAAACGGAGCTGTTACAATACAAAAAATACCTTCTCGCTTCATTTCTTATTGCCTAGTGTGTACTACCACTCAACATCTTCAAGAATTTATCGATATGGATAGATTGGTGCCAACTTATAGAAGATTAGCGGTGAAAAGATCAAATATTCATCTAGATATTTGGTTCCTTCATCAATGTCAAAACCAACGAGTCACTTCTTCATTTGCTTAAGCGAAACTACCTAAGAATGTTTCTAAGAAGCTCTCCTACAACATTGAGAAAAGGATCATTCAGTCTAAAATTTGTAAACATCGCCATTAACATTGATCTCAAAATTGTATATGATCAGCTGTTTGAAGTTTATCTTAACGACATTCAGGATGATGTCGGTTTTTATAAACATATTAAATGCAACAGGTTAAAGCTCAAACTTAACAACTTAATACATAAAAAATACAATCAATCTTCTAACTTTCAACATAAATTTTCATGACAGAGTTAAAAACTTGTCGAACAATAGTTTTAACGATAATGAAATTTAGTTCCTCTCCTTAGGTTTAAAATTTGCAGTTAAACCTAAGATTCGCAAAAAAGATATTGAAGAACTGTCTATTGATGTAGATTTTATTATTAACCACTTTTCTAATGACATTGATCTAACCAATCTTTTGAAATCACACTGCATCTCCATTTTCAATAGATATTTATCCCTTAACAAAATTGAACTTCATAAAAACACACTTATTAAACAACATGTTAATTTATTAAAATCTATTAAAGACAAATTACTTAACAATAATCTCATTATCTTTAAGGCTGGCGAAGGAAATGGCTTAATTATCATGAACAAAGAGGACTACATACTTAAAGTGGAAGAATTTCTTAACAATAATGATTTTATAACGTTGAACTCCAACCCTCTGCAGAAGTTCATAAACTTGTTTAAATCTATTCTCACCAAATATAAACACTTTTTCACTAAAAGCGACATTTTATTTGTCAATAATTTCATTTTAAAAAATCCTTATTTGCCTTGTTTGTATGGCCTGCATAAAATACATAAATTAGAGATCTCAATGAGACCTGTAGTCACTTTCTTCAATTCTCCTGTATCTCCCTTTGCCAAATTTTTCAATAACTTCCTTAATTCTTCTTTTAATTATATACCCAAATATACTGTTTTAAATTCAATTGATTTAGTTAATAAAATTAAAAACATAAATCTAAGTTCTGAAGCTAACTTAGTTTCTTTTGATTTATTCACCAACGTTACCAGAGAGGAAACCTTTCCTATTATCAATGACCTTCTTACTAAAAATAACTTCAACCTTTATTCTATCAATATTATCTTGGTTTTACTAAAAATCTGTCTTGACCAAGATTTCTTTATTTTTAATAAAACATTCTATTCTAAGTCCTTTGTTAGCAGACTTATTTCTAGATCACTTAGAAACCAAAAAAATGTTTAATGATTTTCCTAATAACCGAATATCACACTAGTATAGATATGTTGATGACATTTTTGGAATTATGAATTGTAATTTTACTGAGATTGATGACTTCTTATTTTTCATTAACAATATCCATCCTAATATCAAATAAATCACTTAATTTCCTAGACCCTTCTATCAGTCGTCTAGATAATAAACTTGAATTTGATATCTACAGGAAACCAACTCAAACTGACCATCTAATTAATTTCCACTCTAAGCACTCTTATCAACACAAGTTATCAGCCATATACTGTTACGTTCATCGTCTTCTTAATATACCTTTACCTAATCATAATTTTAATAAAGAATTCAACGTTTTAAAACAATTAGCTTTTAATAATAACTACAATCCTTTCATTACTAATATAGTTATCAATAAAGTCACACTCAAGAAAAGGTCCCAACTTACTTTTAATTCTACTAATGAACCTTCTGCTAATTTTAAATACTTTTTATTACCATGTCTTGGGAAAATTTCCAATGCAGTTTTTAAGGATTGCAACAATATTAAAATTTATTTTAAAAATGTTAATTCAATTAAAAGCCAGCTATCACATACTAAGGATGAAAATGAGTTGCTACACAAAAGTGTTGTCTATAGACTAAGCTGTAACGATTGTAATAGGTCTTATATAGGAAAAAATGAGAGGAGACTCAACATATGAGGTGGTGAACACATTAGATATCCATATAAGTCCATTTTTGGACATCATATCAAATTCAACAATCATAACTTCACTCCTTTTAAGAATGTTACTGTTCTTCATATTTTTAATTGCAACTTTAAACTAAATCTTCTTGAAGACCCTGAGATACACAGAGAGTTTAATAAACCAAATGTCACATGTGTTAACACTCCAATAGCAAAGTTTCTCCTCTCTTTAAGACAGTTGGTCAGAAGTTACCTAGTCAGCTTCGCCTTTAATCTTCTTTGCAGCGGAGTTGATCATGTCTTTTCCAGCGATTGCTGATTTCGTGGCCAGGACGGTTTCCTCCTCTTTTCAGCTGGAAAAGCTGTAATATTGTTTCTGGTGATTACTTTTACAAAATATGGACCAAATAAAAATAAAAATGCTATTATTTATCGATTCTACATAAAAATAACTCATTTTAATGTATATTTAATCTCAATAACTAATGGATATGCTGAGAACTAGTTTGACAGGATTGTCACTTGGTGGATTACATTTTTTGCAGTGTTCTCACTACCTAGAATGGATATGAAATATATTCGTTCAGTTAAACGCAATGACATACTTTTTCGTTTTGTAGTCTGTGCGTAGATAAGCTAATATCCATGTGGGTGTAGAAAAATAATTTTATTAGTGTCAGAAAACACGTTGCTTTGTAACATCCCGACCTAAAGAAACGTGCTTGGAGATTATGAGTATTAATCGAATGCCAAGGGATATTCAATCAGAATTTTTGGGCAATTTAGATTAAGTAATTTGATTCCCTTTTCTAATATAGCGAAATTCCCCAAATAAAATCCATATGTATTTATTACTTCTAATAATATTTTAATTAACTAATTTGCTTTAAGACAAATTGTTTTGAATATCTCTTTAATATTGTGATACATTTTTAACCAGGTTAAGAATTTTATTGCGTATTTTTACTCCTCAAACCAGAAACTTCAAAGAAAAGTAAACTAAAAGGATTGTGGGATCGGATGAGAACTTTTTCAACTTTCAAGAATAAATACCTACGTTGTACAAGACGTGAGAAAGTTTGAGAAACATTGATTCATTTTGTGATCCTGTATATCTCTTCATGAATATATTCCCGAGGGCCAGAATATAGCTTGAACTTGCTTTATTCAAATCGCTTAATATAGGCTATAGCAAATTAATTTATGAAAACAATGGCGTCCATCGGCAGAGCTAGAGCAGAGCAGAGATTAAAGGTTTTGCTAATGACTCATGCCATTTTGTAATTTTGGAGTTATTGAAAAGAGTATTATGTTGAAATAATGATTTGGGTCACAACATTAAAAATAGAACAAAAAATTAGTTATTGTAAATATAGAATATTTATAAAAAAAAATATTTACATTAAATTTGTACAATAGTCCTTCAGCTCACTGCAAAAACTGGAACATATAGCTTTCTCTGCCAGCTCTTTGTAGATGCAGGGAACAAGTTATACTATGTTTCGGTGAAGAAAGCGATCATGTAACCTGTAAAATTAACCCTCAATGAAATGTATGCCTCCAAAAAAAAAAAAATATTGACCCCAGTTCATCGTGAACTCTAGATTATCTAACTCCACTCTTCGATTTATCCACTCTTTTTAAATTTGATGAACCAATAACCAATGTTATT